CACTGCCTATCGACTGGCTGCTGGGGAGGCGGAGGGGGGGGTCGACATGCCCATCTCCTTCAGGCGCTGGTCCTGGAGGACAGGGAGGAAAAACAACAATGAGATTTAGGGAAACAATACTTCAATAGTGATATAACCTCTACAAAAAGGTATAAGAGTTTGGTTTCCAAGTGTATACATCCTTTTAAAAGGTCACCTATTCTGCAAAATCCACTTTTTCCTGTCTCTTCTACATCAACATGCGTCCCCTCTTCTTCATGTCTCTTCTACATCAACATGCGTCCCCTCTTCTTCATGTCTCTTCTACATCAACATGTGTCCCCTCTTCTTCATGTCTCTTCTACATCAACATGTGTCCCCTCTTCTTCATGTCTCTTCTACATCAACATGTGTCCCCTCTTCTTCATGTCTCTTCTACATCAACATGTGTCCCCTCTTCTTCATGTCTCTTCTACATCAACATGTGTCCCCTCTTCTTCATGTCTCTTCTACATCAACATGTGTCTCCTCTTCTTCATGTCTCTTCTACATCAACATGCGTCCCCTCTTCTTCATGTCTCTTCTACATCAACATGCGTCCCCTCTTCTTCATGTCTCTTCTACATCAACATGTGTCTCCTCTTCTTCATGTCTCTTCTACATCAACATGTGTCCCCTCTTCTTCATGTCTCTTCTACATCAACATGTGTCCCCTCTTCTTCATGTCTCTTCTACATCAACATGTGTCCCCTCTTCTTCATGTCTCTTCTACATCAACATGTGTCCCCCTCTTCTTCATGTCTCTTCTACATCAACATGTGTCCCCTCTTCTTCATGTCTCTTCTACATCAACATGTGTCCCCTCTTCTTCATGTCTCTTCTCTTCTACATCAACATGTGTCCCCTCTTCTTCATGTCTCTTCTACATCAACATGTGTCCCCTCTTCTTCATGTCTCTTCTACATCAACATGTGTCCCCTCTTCTTCATGTCTCTTCTACATCAACATGTGTCCCCTCTTCTTCATGTCTCCTTCTACATCAACATGTGTCCCCTCTTCTTCATGTCTCTTCTACATCAACATGTGTCCCCTCTTCTTCATGTCTCTTCTACATCACCATGTGTCCCCTCTTCTTCATGTCTCTTCTACATCAACATGTGTCCCCTCTTCTTCATGTCTCTTCTACATCAACATGTGTCCCCCTCTTCTTCATGTCTCTTCTACATCAACATGTGTCCCCTCTTCTTCATGTCTCTTCTACATCAACATGTGTCCCCTCTTCTTCATGTCTCTTCTACATCAACATGTGTCCCCCTCTTCCTCATGTCTCTTCTACATCAACATGTGTTCCCCCTCTTCTTCATGTCTCTTCTACATCAACATGTGTCCCCTCTTCTTCATGTCTCTTCTACATCAACATGTGTCCCCTCTTCTTCATGTCTCTTCTACATCAACATGTGTCCCCTCTTCTTCATGTCTCTTCTACATCAACATGTGTCCCCCTCTTCTTCATGTCTCTTCTACATCAACATGTGTCCCCTCTTCTTCAATGTCTCTTCTACATCAACATGTGTCCCCTCTTCTTCATGTCTCTTCTACATCAACATGTGTCCCCTCTTCTTCATGTCTCTTCTACATCAACATGTGTCCCCTCTTCTTCATGTCTCCTTCTACATCAACCATGTGTCCCCTCTTCTTCATGTCTCTTCTACATCACATGTGTCCCCTCTTCTTCATGTCTCCTTCTACATCAACATGTGTCCCCTCTTCTTCATGTCTCTTCTACATCAACATGTGTCCCCTCTTCTTCATGTCTCTTCTACATCAACATGTGTCCCCTCTTCTTCATGTCTCTTCTACATCAACATGTGTCCCCTCTCTTCATGTCTCTTCTACATCAACATGTGTCCCCTCTTCTTAGTCTCTTCTACATCAACATGTGTCCCCTCTTCTTCATGTCTCTTCTACATCAACATGTGTCCCCTTCTTCTTCATGTCTCTTCATACATCAACATGTGTCCCCTCTTCTTCATGTCTCTTCTACATCAACATGTGTCCCCTCTTCTTCCATGTCTCTTCTACATCACCATGTGTCCCCTCTTCTTCATGTCTCTTCTACATCAACATGTGTCCCCTCTTCTTCATGTCTCTTCTACATCAACATGTGTCCCCTCTTCTTCATGTCTCTTCTACATCAACATGTTGTCCCCTTTCTTCATACATAACAGTGTCCCTCTTCTCATGTCTTCTCATCAACATGTGTCCCCTCTGTGGAAAGAGACTCTGAAAGTTTCAGGAACAAAGATTCTCTCTCTTTTTGTCCTGATCCATTTCTATAAAAACCTGTCTGAAAATGAGCTGATCAGATTTTGCCCACTTTATGATGTCATAACGATGTTTTGGCTTGTGTAACCATTAGCCAATCAGCAACCAAGGTAACCCCCCCCCCCACCTTATCACCTGAATCTCCTCCTAGAGCACCATTGTGTTCTTTGTAACCAAATCTCTCTCAGAGGGGCGTGGGGAGGGGCTCCTTATTTTCATCTAAAGTAACAGACAGAGAATCAGCACTTTGGAAACAGGGCTGAAACAGAGGGGATTATGGGTAATGCTGCAATGATCTGTTTGATGTTTGGAGCCAAACACTTCAGAGACATGTTTTGTATAAATCTGAGACCTGTAATATGTTGATAAACAGTAGAATAGGGGACCTTTAAAGGTGTGCACAATGACACATCCAAATAGCCGTCCCAGTAATTCTATTTGTTAAAAGGCTTGTCAAACATTTCACAGCAAATAAGCCCAATGTCGGGTCATTTGGAGTAAAAGCAGATCTTTAAATGTGTATCCTTTGGTGATATTCAGACCGTCCTTGGCTTAAGATTTAATACTTAAAGCCAGTCCTGCATCCAATTAAATTTGTAAAGGTAGTTTATATATTTAATTTTCTTTTGCCAAGGTTGCCAGGTGGTGTGGTTCAGCATACACAATATATGCAATGCCAAATGATTAGGTGAAAGTACTTTTAAATGAATTATGTTGGTTTTCTAGAGAGAAGAAAGCTCCCTCGGAATATTTTGTAGTGCTTCGTAAACTGTATTTGACCCGGTACTGATGAAAAACAGCTGAAATGCAGACGGTTGACAGATACACAAACATCAGCAAACCCCCCCCCCCGCTCACACTGAAGCAACGTCAGGAACAAACCTGAAATTGGTTTTGATTTTTGAGGGAAGAAGAGCGGAAATGCTGCCGATATTCGCAGTAAATCAAACATTTTAACGTCTCAAAGTAGAGGTAAGAAACCAACCTGGATAATGAGGGGAAAAAAATTATTTGACAAGCTGTAATATCTCTTTGAAGATGCTCCTAGATATTTGCAAAACACTTCCCTTCCTCCTCCAGACTTCCATTTCTTGCATGAATTTGAACATTTGGCTTCAGGGTCAGTTTGATGCATGCTGGGAAATCTGACTGAACAACGTCCTATCACTGTGACTTTACATGTGCTAGTAAACATCAATAAAATGCATTGAACCTCTAATAGGTGAGCCCTTCTGTTCCTCTGTACAGGGTATATGGTACCTCCACTGTGTTTCTGTATAACCCATAAGCGACTACATCAAATTGAATTGCTTTATTGATTTGATTTGAACATTCTCGCCGTTTTATTGCTTTTTTTTCCCCGTGCCATCTGCCTATATTTCCCGCTGGATCTTCTTTACTTTTTCTGCCGCAGTGACCTAATTCCTCCGCGGGGATCAATACAGTCGTGTCTTATCACGTGGGGACATGTACTGGGAAATAACAACAGAACATGTAGTGTTTGGGAGAAAAGGGGAAAGCAATTTCCAGCTGAACAAAAGGCACAGTCTCTTAGTATGAGCGGCCACAGGAAGAACAAACTCAAACGTTGTAGTTGGAAATTACTTTATAACCTCTGAAAGAATTTGGACTAATACAACTTTTTATATACTCATATGTATACATGTTGCTGCTACTGTAATATATATACGTCTATATTGGTCTTTTATAGAACTGTCTAACTTTTCAAGAACATTATATTGTGTATTCTTTGTAGTTCATGTCCTTTCTACTGTAGATATGTATATATATATTTGGTGTTTATTGTTTTATAATTTGTTCAACCCTTTACATACTTTAATGCCTGAACACTGTAACAATTGTTTTTCCCAATTTGGAATGATCAAAGTATCCATCTAGCTATAAAACGAGTCCCCTTCATTTATATTCTGACGGCGTAGAGAGGAACAAATGGAAACTGATGTTATTGTTTGGGTTATGGCCCCAGCTGGACAGTAGCAGTAACAGTGTGTGTGCGTGCGTGTGTATGTGTGTGTGTGTGTGAGAGAGTCCATATGGACAGCAGAGCGCTCAGACAGCTGGACTCAGTATTTGGTCGACCCTTACTCGCCCCGTCTTTCTCCCTCCGTTATGTTCTCACCGTTTATCTCCCCTCTCCTTTCACTCTAAACCCAGAGGTAATCAGTGGACTTCGGCAGAAAGCGGGGCAACCAAGGGCACGGAGTAAACAGCGCGGTAAAATCCAATCAACTGCACACACACACAAACAAACACACCGGCTGCACACTCATCTGCCACGAAGCCCACAAGCGGATCAACAAAGCTTGCGAAGATACCGAAAACATACATACTGTATCTTCTCTAGCAGAATGCACACACACACACACACACACACACACACACACACACACACACACACACACACACACACACACACACACACACACACACACACACACCACACACACACACACACACACACACACACACACACACACACACACACACACACACACACACACACACACACATCACACACACACACACACACACAACACACACACACACACACACACACACACACACACACACACAAACACACTACACACACACACACACACTACACACACACACACACACACACACACACACACACACACACACACACACACACACACACACACACACCACACACACACACACACACACACACACAATAAGTGCAGTCCAAAGGGCTTCACATAGACATGGTAATGGTGACACACGTT